TGGGAAGGCGGACCCTGCCACTCCGGGCCGAGTGCACTACCACCCCGACTCGCCTGCCAAGGGCGCCCAGTGGATGAAACAAATCGTGTCCTTCGACAAGCTCAAACTAACCAACAACCTGCTAGATGACAACGGTCACGTAAGCGGCTCCCCTCCCCAGGCTCCTGGGCGGTCTCCAGGGCGACCCCTTGGGAGTCCCCACCGATCAGAAGCAGAGTGTAGGCACCCCACGTGTGGACCAGAGGCAGGCTGCAGACAGCAGCCTTGGCTTAGGGGCCGGTGAGGAGAGGGAACCACTGCCTTCCCTGACATCCCTCCTGGTCTTTTTTTTTTTTTTAAAAGTGGGGAACCAGCAGATGGCATAATGGTTAGTCGACCACGGTTCGAGTCCCGGACCCAGTGTCTTAAAACTCACTCCAGGCCCGTGTGCATGCCCAAGATCCTGAGAGGAGAATGGAGGAGAAGGGTATTGCAGCGTGGCCATTCCCCAACCCCCCGGGGGGTGATTTCTTGCTGTCTTTCTGTCTCTCTCTGTCTACAACAAAAATCTCTCTTAAAATTTTGTTAAAGTTGATTTATTTCTTCCATGGTGAGAGAGACCGTCCTCTCACCAGGGTCTTGATGCGGAGTTCCGCACCGCACCCCAGCTTTAGCCAGTGCTGATCCTGGGCCCTGTGTACCAAGGGGAGGTCTCCAGATCTGAACCAAGAACCTTTCCGGTGTGGCATAGCTTGGTGGAGCACCAGCACCCACCTCCTCCACACCTTACTCTGGGGTATTTTAAGGTTGTGCGTGTGGGGAGGAGGAGACAGGAGGCTTTGTGGAATCCTGGCTGGCAAGACTGCTTTCTCTGCAGGCCGAACTCTGCCCCCCACCCCTAAACGACCACCCCCTGCAGGCTTAAGGCAATTAACGGGGACCTAAAGAATGGACCGAAGGGACCAGCAGGTGGTGTGGTGGTTAAGGTGCTGGACACTCCCACATGGTCAATCATGGTTCGAGTCCTGGACCTGGCAGCTTGCTTTCTCACTTTCCTTCTGTCTCTTTCTCTGTGTCTCTCTCTGGTCAAATTAAAATAAATAAATGAGTAAATAAAATTAGTAAATAATCCTAAAAATATTAAAAAAAAAAAAGAATGGACCGAACCCCCTAGCTGTTGCCATGCCAGCGGTCCCATGGGTAGCAGCCCCTGCTGGCCTCAGCGCCCTGACCTCATCTGGAGAATTAAGGGTTTTGCTGGAGTGATCCAGGAGGTTCATGGCCTACTGAGACCTCTGCCACTTCCCTGCTGTCACCCGGACCGCCATCCTCCTCCCACACCGGAACTGACCCCTGCTTTGCCTTCCAGATTATTCTCAACTCTATGCACAAATACCAGCCCCGCTTCCACGTGGTCTACGTGGATCCTCGCAAAGATAGCGAGAAATATGCCGAGGAGAACTTCAAAACCTTCGTGTTCGAGGAGACCCGCTTCACCGCCGTCACTGCCTACCAGAACCACCGGGTGAGGGCCCGCACTGAAGCCCCGGTCCGCACACGGGCCTTCTGGGGCAGGGGTGCCGTTTTCAGTGGCTGCCTTAGGGGCAGAGAGCTCCGATCTGCCAGCTGTGTGTGGGTCTCAGCGGAGCCCAGCCCACCGGGATCCCATCCCCTGGGCTTCAGGCCGCCCCCCTCCCGCGGCCTGCTGGCCTAGCCCCCTATCAGCTTGACCTCTCCAGCGCTAACTGTCACTGCAGCCTGGAAGTTTGTTTTCCAAACCATTCCGGAAACTCCCCATCAGAGGCCTGATTGAGGTTTACTCAGATTCCTAGGGCTCTGCTCCGTGCCCCATACCACCGCTGCACAGTCGGGGGTGGAAATGACCACATTCCCATCCCAGCTAGGGGCACGGGGTCTCCATCTCCCGTTCACACCAGCGGCCAAGAGGGGTCCCATGGTGGGAGAGCATCCGACAGACACCCTGCCCTGGGGGGGGAGGCACCTCCTCCGTGGGGGAGGGGGCACAGGGGGAGCGCAGACCGGCCCTTCCTGGACAGCCCCTCCTAACACTCCCCTGTCCTCTGCCGAGGTCGGGTGGCCGCGGCTGCGGGGCTCCAGTCGCTCGCTCACGCCCGCTTCCCTGCAGATCACGCAGCTCAAGATTGCCAGCAACCCTTTCGCCAAAGGCTTCCGGGATTGCGACCCCGAGGACTGGTGAGTTTCCTCGGAGGGGAGGGCGGGCGTCCGGGTGTTTGGTCTGGGCGCTCCCTGACCCGCCTCCCTCCTGCAGGCCCCGAAACCACCGGCCCGGCGCTCTGCCCCTCATGAGCGCCTTCGCGCGCTCGCGGAACCCGGTGGCCTCCCCCACGCAGCCCAACGGCGCGGAGAAAGGTAGGGTCGGGGTCGTGGGAGCCGGGCCGCAGGCCCGTGAGGGCCCCGCCCCGG